GTCGTCTTATACGCCCAGTCGTCTTATACGCCGGAAAATACGGGTAAGAGCCAAGCCAGACTGTTTGCATATTTTGTGTCCTTTTAATTGTGTCCTTTGAATATTCTGATAATGTATTCCACTAAATCTAACCTTGAATCATACTGAAAAAGTGTAACACAAATCAATTACAACAGCTTAGTCCTGTTTTGAATTATTAAATGCTCCAGCATTAAAATCTTATGGATTCTTTTTATTGGTGCAGGTGCACCTCTAAGAATGACTGCTAAGTGCAAAATTTATGTATATAATCTGGAATGTAATTCTTTCTGTCTTTCTTTTTCATGTTTTCCCTCCATCACTCATCTTGTTTTTCTGTTTATTTTAGAATATTAAAAGTTGGGTGAACCAAAAAAAATATGCATTGCAAACACATTTGCCAACGTCATGGCAATAGATAAGGAACGACTTTATAATGACAAATTCCTTCATCTTCTGACAGCAGTCATCATTGATGGTGCTGATCTTTTTACTCCCCTGTGCTTCCTCTCCCTCTTCCTCTCACCCCCCATTTGTGTGTGTATGAAAGCCTCTTTCTTAAAATAATAGCCTGTGTTATCATTTCACCAGTAATCTCCCTTTGAGATTGCGAACTGCTCATTTTAGCACTGACTCCAATTTTCCTTTTGATATTTTTCCCCTCTTCTTTTGTTCAAACAGTTCTCTGATTGCCCCAGCTCATCACTGAGGGGACTGAGGCAGAAGTCAACACTAGATGACATCTCACAATGTCATTCAGCAAAGCTCCCCCCCCCTTTTGTAGCAACAGACACAGCATACGAAAGTTCAGAAAAAATATTTAAAGCATCTCACGGTTCTACTTCTGAGCCAATAATCTCCCCCTCTCTTTCCCCTCCTACTTTCTGTCTTTAAAAGAAGTCTGACAAGGTTCATAAAAGTATATTAAGCATTATCTGGGTATTCTTTCTTCTTGGTTGCCCATCCCTTATAACAGGGGTAGGCAACCTTTCCCCTTTAAGGGCCGAGGGACTTCAGCTCCCAGAAGCCTCAGCCATGTTGGCCAATAGTCCCATGTTGGCCAATAGCTCCTGGGATTCTGGGAGCTGAAGTCCCTCGGCCCTTAAAGGGGAAAGGTTGCCTACCCCTGCCTTACAAAGTGCAGATCTAAATATTATTTTAGTGCCACTTTTCCCAAACTGGTGGCCTCCAAGCAGAGATTTCACATTTATTTTTTAATGTACAGGATGACATGCTGAAGTCATTGCTTGAAGGGCCTGATCTCATGTACAGATGAAATGTGCAAGGGTTTAGGGAAGCAGCACAGATGTTACAAATTAGGTCTTCCTTATCTGGAATTCTGGAATCCCAAATATTCCAAAATCCAAAATTGTCCACATGACTGGCTGAGATAATGACACCTTTGCTTTCTAGTGGTTCATAAATCTCAGTGTACAAAAACTTTGTTTCATACACAAAATTATTTTAAAAATTTTGTATAAAATTACTTCAGGCTATATGTATAAAGC